GTCCCCTCCCCCTATGAACATCAGCAGTCTCTGCTCAATGCCAGTCGGGGGGACCAGTGGCATATCTCTAGGTGGCGGGCGCCAAGCTTGCCCAGGATGGTCAATGGGGATTGAACCCAAGACCTCCTGAATGCCACTTGCGTGCCTTACCAGCTGATCTCGGCTGCTGGATCATTCCACATTTTCAGGCTTTTTCTCTTTTATTTAGAAAAAGGATCGAATTTTTATTAAGACACTAGCCATGTATGTGGATTAGTGTGACGGTGTGGGACGGGTGGGGGACAGGTGGGTGGCAGTGTGAAATAGGGAAAATAGACGCAAGAAAACATTTCAGGACCAAACAAATGAGGAAAAACCTGCTAAAAAAGAAAAGAAAGTCTCGCAGACGGTGTCTGCTCCAGGCGGGGTGTCAGATGTCAGGGCATGATTCACTGACCATGGCTGTGGCAGTCAAGAAGACTGCATGTGAGCCCACACCTGGACCATATTCATTGACAATAGTCTGAGGCTTCCTTGAAATAGGCCACAGTGCACACTGTTGGGTTGTTCTGACAGAAATTCTCTTTGGCAAACAAGGTCAAGAGTAAGCTGTAGGTGAGGGGATCGAACCTTACCGAACCCCTCCCAAACCACAATCAATTTCCAGCGATGAAGCCATTGGTCTTTGCCTTTGCCTTGAATGAAATGTGCGTGATTTCATTATCCAAAAACATTGGTCTCGTTTTCACGCACGTTTGGGACCGCCACGGGACCCCCACAGCAAAAACTAAAGAAAAACCTACCCATGGGAGAGCAAAAGACACATCCTTTTCCCGGTCTTAATTCACAAAAACTGGCTACCGCTGATTTTTCCTGCCGAATCCACGCTGCCTGACAGTCACACACCCCAAACACTAATCCACATACACTCCACATACATCCGTAGTAAAATCTCGCTCCAGGGGTGTCCCTCAGGCTCTCCTTTTTTTTTTCTTTTTTTGGAAAGGGAGCAACCTTTATAAAACTGTGCCGGGAACCCGCATCCCTCACAAAGTTTGCCGCAGCTCTAAGGCTGAGCAAGGCTCTCTGGCCAAGCAAAGCCCATGGCGCGACTTTGGCAAGATTTGTACTCCTTTTTTTTTTTTTTTTTTAAAGGGGCCCGCAGGGCTTCATATTATAAACTTGTAGACTGAGTAGCACTGAGGCCGGGAATCCTCAACAAACAAACTGGAAGTGAACCAGTAGCTTGTAACGCACGTGATGGGAATCCGGTCTAGGAGCAGACGTGGCCAAATACAGACCCCTGCCCTGACTTCTCCACATCCCTGAAATGAATAGAAACCTTGCCCTCACGGCCTACAAAGCTTAACAAACCAAGAACCACCACTGCACCCAAGAAAAACACAGCCAAAAAGGAAACCTTTCATGAAGATATGACCAAAATGAAAGGGACATCAAGGAGCCCTCTAATCTACTTAACTATAGGATACTACACAAGACCTCAAGAAACAAAATCCACACCCCTGCCACCTGCTGCCCTCCCTTGCCCAACAAAACTAACTATAGAAGAGGTTACTTTCCCTATACTACCATTCCCCCATCCCCTCTATTAACCTACTAACCCACCTAACGTGGTGGGCGAAGTGTCTACCAGAGAGTTCAACACCAGGTCTAAGTGCTCCCTCCTTCCCCCCAGCTGCCTGTCCACTGCGACCGATCCTGCAACCGAGCACTTCAGGTTGGGAGCGCTTATCTAACTAGAAAATAACCAGTCCTCGAGCATCAATTTACCTTCCTCTGAGACCTTCGCCCAAGTGCCTCCCAAGCACCAGGTTTCCTCGAACCATTTCACTGCACTCTGTTTGCCGTTTGGGCTTTGTACCTTTCTTCTCCAATCTGCTTGAATCGCATGTCTCAACCCTTTCAAAACTGCAGCCCTGATCTGTCACAGTTTTCAAAAATCCGATCATTCCTTCCTTGCCAGATGACAGCGCCAATCACTGCTCTTGCTACATGGGCCGTCGTGGGCCACATAGCCCCAACCCTTGGAGAGCAACAGACCATCTGGGATTCCACCCAGTACGCGTGACGATAGCGCCAAAAAGATTTTCCCGACGATCGTGCCAAAATTCCCATTTCCCACAGCAGAACAAGAAAGAAGCTATGTCAACAGTTATCTTTTGCTAAGGCGCGATCAGCTACCAACGGTTGCAAGATTACCCCGGCGGCCTCAATTCCAAAGGAAAAACAAACAAAGCAAGGGCACCCATGCAATTCACCAGGCCATCCCGATTCAACCCCCGAGGTAGTCTTGCGCAGAAAATAGCGCAGCTGCAGGAAACAGTTCATCACACCATTCCCATTTCGCTGAATCAAGCTTTAGAGACCGAATTAGCTGTCCATTTGAGAAGACTTAGTACACAAGCGGGAGGTTTCACAGTCAATTTTCAGTACGTAGTCGATCTGTATTCATTATGTATTCATTCAGTAAAGGGACGCTGGAGCCGCTTTCCAGCAGGTGACGCTCCCCACCAATAGACGGAGCCTCTCCCCGGGTGTTAGTGGTGTCTGATCTTGTCAGCACCACTAGCATCGCAAGGGGGGGGGGGTTGAAAAAAAAGAAAAGAAAAAAAAAGAAAGAAAAGAAAAAAGAAAGTACACAAGCGGGAGGTCCTCCATTCAACCCAGTTTCAATGACCCGGATCTCGACAAAGGAAGACCCCACTAAAGGTTGGGTCTGAGTTTCGTTGAGCTGCAGAGTATGACCTCCGAGCAGCAGCCGACCTTGAAAAATGTGTTTGCCATCTCTCTGGACTTCTATCAACTTCCATAATTGAGAGGTCTCATCTGGGTCTGCGGATTTATACC